CCCTCACTCCCTCACTCCCTCACTCCTTCACTCCTTCACTCCTTCACTCCTTCACTCCTTCACTCCTTCACTCCTTCACTCCTTAACTCCTTCACTTCTTGCTTAGATTTAGACATAAATGGTGAAGGCACCAATACCTCTCTTGGTATTTTTGTACTTGTGCTGATTAGTTGAAATTTATATTTTTATCACAGAAATTCCCTGTTCAAACTTGAATTAACCACTCTACAATTACTTTCTGCTCAAAATGATGTGAGTAATTTTGTAATGAATGTCAGTTACTGGTCAGGGTTATCTTCAAGGGCCAAGGTCCTAGAATTCTCTTTTTCCTCATGTGATTTCTCATGTGATTTCTCATGTGAGGGATATGGTCTAGTACAGGTTCAAAGGTCAAATTTTCCAAAATAAAAATATCTAATGAACATAAATAACATTGTTTAATATGTTATACAATCATGTAAATAGCAGAGAAAGGAGCCTTGGTTCTTAATGTGTTGGAAAGAGTTCTTTTTTGCATGGCGAAAGAAATTATTATCCAGAGGAATACATGTACATGTACTTGTAGTGCACCTGCAGGCATTCCCCGATGGGGGAAATAGTTGTCTATTTGTTCCCATCATTGGCAATCTCTCAATATCAAGTAAAATGTCTACTCAAGTGGTAGAGTTCAGCTCATGATGACTGAGCGGTCTGTTATCAGTCAGTTATATATCCATTGGACATAATTTTTATGTACATGTATGTAGAAATAGATTTACAGTCAGATGTTGCGTTAGTGCAGCCTGCCTGATGCCTAGTGTGTACAGTAAAAGGTTTAATTAGTTTATTACTGTTGTTTATTTCAATCAAGGTTGTAGCATTACTACCAAGCCAAGAGGCATTGCAAACATGCTTAAAGTTGGGGCTTACAAGAGTGAGTTTATGTGTTTTTAAATGTATGACATAAAAATGACATGCCCAATTTTTTCCTGAGTGTAAGACATTCTGACCAGCCTGTGATGAAGATTGACTTCTACGTGGGCATATTTTTTTTTTTTTTTTTTTTTTTTTTTTTT